TCCATCATTCTCCTTCCCACTCCTTTCCAAAGAAAATCCTGAGCAGCACTCCATGCAGGAGGGCTGCTTGCTCAGTAGTGTGTGGGAAGGGTGCAGCAAAATAGGTCTGCTTAAACCCCCTTCTCTGTCACTGGAGAGGATTATGTATCCAAACTGGACCCTCCCTCAGATGCTCAGGGAAACTGTCAGAGTGAATTAAAAGCTGTAAAAGGCCAGGGCTATAACTCAGTGCCTTTTAAGTGCCAAGATTTTTTCAGGGATGGAGAGAGGGAAGTAGCCACTAATGTAATTTCCATCAGGAGTACACTCCTCTAATATAATTTGGCCTGGCCATCCTTTCAAATGCAGCCTTCCCTGGCTGGGCTGGTTCAGGGCCATCCTCCTAAGTGCCCCAGTAATTACTGATGCAATGAAAGCATGTGCCCAGGCTTTGCTCTGGTCTTTTTGGCCCTGGAGTGACACCAGCTTTCTGCATAGAGCACACTGCTGGGCATGGAACTGGACATATTAATTTTGTGGGGGTTTTTCACTGCCTACGTTCATTAAAGACACAAATGGCTCCTTTGCTTAGGCTTTGTTCCTTTTTTCTCTTTGGTTAAGGCCTAGCAGTGCTCTAATGGTCTACAAGTTGTATGGTCTCTTAGCAGATTAATAAGAATCAGTTAGTCTGATCCAAATTCCTGATCTAAATTTTGCATTCACCTGTTGTCCATCCTTTTTCCAGTACCTTGTGCAGTCTGTAGCAGAGTTCAATAACCCATTATTCTGTCCTTTCCTTGCAAGGGAATGGTTTCCTTGAAAGGGACCCTTGCTTTGCCATTTCCATCTCCTTAGGCAAAAGCTACCAGAGAAAGAACTTGAAAGTCTTTTTGAAAGTGCTCTCATTTGTTCACATTGCTTCTCATTGCTTAAAATGTCAATTTTCCAACAGCTCTTTAAACATCTCCTTGCAGCATTGTGCATGATAGACTTAAATATCAGCAAAGAACCACAGCACAGCGCTGATTTCCTTCTCTTGGGTTTATTTTGGTCATCTTTTTAAAATACATCTCCTGATTGTGTATGGCAGCCAAGGGTATTGAATTGTCCCCAAATGCAGCTAACTGGGGACTTATTACTGTTATTCCTCATAAACAGGTGGTGCTCAAGGACAGTTCTTGGAGACCTGCAGTTTAAGGATAAGCACCAATCCCCTCTCTCCTTGTACAAATGGGTGGGGCTGAAGTGGGAAATGCATCCTACAATTTTTAGAAGGTAAGGACCATGACCAAGGGGCTTTGCTGTGACATATGGCAGGGCTGTCACAAGCAGAAGATGTTAGAAAAGGGATGGTGTGAGAGACTGAAAGAGAACCTGATGAAACCCAGCAGAGCAGCAAGGGCATTGCAGAGTTTTCAGGAGGCTACAAAGGACATGAACTTTGGTGTCTCTAGAGGAAATAAGAAGAAAGAAAGAAGGAGATGAGGTGCATGGCCAGATTTATGGGCAAGGTCAGACTTGACAGCTGTGATTTTGAGCAATTTGAAGGGAAGGGAGAAATGACAAATGACGTAAGCATTTGGGTGCCAGAGAGATGAGTGTCACAGAAGCTGAGTTTTTAGAAAGAACAGGCAGAAAGTAGACTCACTTATTCTCTGTCTGTCCATACACTTCCTTTTCCCCTGGGGACAGTAAGGACTGCCCTTCTCTGGAACTCCCTGTCATACACAAAAGCCTTGGGACCACAGACTCCCAGGCTGCAAGGCAGGACCCTCTTCCCAAAGCCTGGGTGCCAGTTTCCAGGAGTGCCCAAATCCTGGATGCCAACATCACTTTCCCATTGTCCATCAGCACCCAAGGCTGCTGCTTTCTGTTTCACAGCTCAGCCTCTGATAGAGAGTTGCAAAGCAGCCAGTAAATACATTATCTGGTAGCAGGAGCAGATAATCCCTCAAACCACAGCCCAAAGCCTTATTAAACCAAGTACATTACAGATTCCAATCAGAAATCAGTGGAAGTGGAGCTGTTCTGCCCATGGAGTGTTGCAGGGGTCAGTCTGGGGATGAGGCAGTGGCAAGCCCAGGAGCAGGGATGCACAGTCCCACTCCCAGGCTGTGCTCACTGTCACAGTACTGGATGCACTGTCACTGTGCCCACACAGAACCAGATCCCACGGCAGACAGGGAGAGGCAGCAGGCAGGGGAAAAGAGGTGTTTTTTCCCTCCTCAGCATCTTAAACTGGGTAATTATATTTAAAAAACATGCTGTTAAACCCAAAATTAAATAAGTGAAAGTAAGGACATAGGGGAACTAAGGTAGCATGATTTATTGACATGAGCTGCTAATATATGCAGTAGGCAATTACATATATTTAATCACATATTAAGTGCAAGCCAGATTTTTTGGTATACATTAATACAGTGCATGGCATAATGCTTTGTACTTGCCTAGAGTTGTATACTAATCATTAGAAAACTCTCCCAAAAGTGTATGCTGCTACAAAAGTCCAATGAACTGAAATGTTCCAATTAACTTTTGAACCAGTCTTGGCACAATGTTTTAAGTTCCCAAACTCAGAGAAGGAGGGAAGACAATTTGCAACAGACCAGGCATCACCCAGCTGAAGAATACTCGATAAATCAGGTATGTCAGTAATGAGGGCAAAGGATTTATTTTGCAGCATTTAAATCATGTATACTTTATGTCTTTCTCATGCTTTATCCTCAGAGGGGAGCAAGACAATAATGGTAGTATGAAACTTTTTTATGTTTTCTTATATTTCACATTGCTTTGTCCATTTAAAATCCATGCTGTGCAAGTGTTCCCAGACTGACCAGGCTGATAGCCTCTTTCTGAACATAAGCAGCACAGTATTTTACCTGGATGACCACATCTCCTTTTTACATTTTCTATGATCCATGCACATAGCTTTGTTATTTCAATGTCCCTTGGAGGTAGGAGCTTTTAATGAAAAACGATCCGACTGAAAACTGAAGGTGGAAGGCCACTGGAATGACCAACTTCTCAGAGACTCCAGCCTTTTGGGGGGTTGGGATTAGCTCCTTGGAGAAGGTGAGCAGTTCAGATGGAGTTCCTCCACCCCAGGATGACAACACCAGCAGATTCTACCAGGGGTTCACCCAGAGGGATGTGCTGCTGGGAGTGTGTTTGTCCTCGAGAGCCTCCCAACAACCAGAACCTGCTCCTCGTGGTGTGATGCTGCTGGAACCTGCTGCTTGCTCTAGCACAGGAAATTAAAAAGGCAGCTGTGCTAGTGCCCAGATTTCCAAAGTTTGTGGCAATTTTCTTGTCCCAGTGGTTCCTGGACCTTTTATTAAGACCTCAGTTAAGAAGAAAAAAATAAAATTAAACTGTTGAACTGGGCTACAAATGCTGGTGACTTGGCTTCATAGCAACATAAATAGCCCAGGTGAGTGATAATCATGAAGAGCACACAAATTTTCTTTCTTGTTTTGTTGCTAATTGGTGATTTCCAATATCACTTAATACATGCATAGTTAAAGTCTTCTAGGCAGGTGGTAAAAGTTGCATGTGTTTCTCGATTGCTTTAATGCATTATCATTATAACACAACATCCACCTTTATTTAACCTCTGCAGATGTGCCAGTGTCAGTGCAGCTGTTGCCGTGCTGTCACTGGCACAGATAACTCACACATTTCACACAGTCCTGTACAACATTTACCACAAAGCAGGAAAGAGTGGCTTGTATGAAAACAATGCCTAGTTTTAAGGCTTTTAGTTCTGAATTCTGCACATTCTTGGTTTCATTTTCTGTTATAGACTCTTCGTCACGTGACATTTAATATGCTTTCCATGTGAAATTTGCTCTTTACTGCTTGCTAATAAATAAGGATATAATTACCCTCGCTCCAACCAGAGCTGATATAGTTGAGAGACCTTCCCAAAAAACAAGAACCCACATGTACATTGCACAGCATGACCGAGCATCCATGGATGCACTACTCCGCAGTCTGACTTACAGCGATACAAAAGTGAGCACACACACTGGGACAACCACCAGTGGCACAGGGGGAGGGAGCACAGGGGATAACTGGGAATTGAGTGGTGATGGCTGGGTGGACAAGGGGTTGCAAATGCCAAGACCTTCCAGTGTGGACACCAGAGAGAAGGCAATGTGTACATGGCCGTGGGCAGGGAACTGATGCTATCCTGGCCCCTTGGGGTCAGGCAGAGCCCAGCCAGCTCAGCACAGAGGAGAAAAATACAGAACTATGTTCCTTTGTTATCTTCCCTCCTTGTCTGATTTTCTCCTGGGAGAGAACTTCTTGGCTATTTCACAGGTTTTTTGTCCAGTTCATCCTTTTGTGGTGTGTTTTGCCAGTCTCCTGTGACTGCTTGTAGTGCACAGACACACACAGACAGTGCCTTTGCCTGAAGGTGATGTTAACCAGCTTATTTGATGGATTTGCTGATTCTGAAAGAACTTCAACTCCTTTGACCAATGAAGGAGCATTGGTAACCTTAAGAGTTGCTGAAGTCATCTCTAGTGGATGCAACATTTGCTAAGTTCACATTGTAATGAAAGAGAAAGTTCCTCTAAACACCGCATCCAAGATATGCTTTGTGTTTATGCAGAGAAGGGTTAAAGACAAAACCCCTGAAGAGATTATATTTGGTTTAACAGTGCTAAGTCGAGGTAATTGTTACATGGCATTCCTGGTTAATGAAACTCAGCTTCCAGTAGTTTAATGTTGCTTTTGTGATGGAAAGCTATCCACAGCTGCATGGAAGTCTCACTGGCACACACAGCTTGACATTTATTTCTCTATTAAGACAGGATGCAGTGGTCCTATTTTTCCCTATCTGACAAATCTATATTTAAAAAAAAAATCTCAGAATGGCCATCAGCAGCATGATGTGTCTTTGCTTGTTTTCCCAGAGGTGGGTGGAAGTTTTTTTTGTCCCAGTCCTTCTTGGATAGGTGATAGTGTAGCACCTAGCACTCCCTAGGCCAGGGATGCTGCCCACCTCTGCTCCCTCATGTGAAGTATCGACACTGTGTGGAGTCAATGTAGCAGTAAGGAGTGCAGCGCAGTTTCCCGTAAGACCTGGAATAAAAGAGAATATCTCAGTTTCAAAGCATGGTATGGTTCACTTACATGGCTCCTGGTTGTAACTCTCTGTAGGAGTGAAGAACCTTGGAATATGCATATGCAGCAGCATATGGGAAACTAAATAGGAGGGCAATTTTCATCAGGGCTCGACTGTGTTCTCCTCTGTCAGCAAAACAGGCATCCAGGAGAAATTATGAGTGAAGACTTTACTCCCAGTAATGTCAATTAAAAAAATAAAATCCCTCTTGGCATCAGGACTGGAGCGTTTCATGGGGGTGGATGCAAAAGGCCTGGCGCTCACCCACGGGAGCTGTGGAACAAAATATCTGAGGCTCTGAGTTGAGTGTTTTTCCAGCTACTCCCAATAGCTTCAGCAGGCATGACTGTGCCTGTCCTTTAACTTCTTTTCCATGTACTTGAAATAACGAGAGTGACACATTCCCACATTAGAAATAATTATAAAAAGAGTAATTTGAAGAGTCCTTGCAAAATAAAGAGAAACAGAGATTTTCTCTTTCTACTGACTTAAACTGAGCAGTGACTCTACTTACTAAAGACCTGACCAGAACTGTTAATAAGAATTAAAATGAGTTTTTATTGCTGGAATGTCTAAGTGACTAACACATCCACAATGTCAAGCTATGCAGCTTTAAAACTACGTCCTAGGATAACCCACATTCTCAGACTAACATCAAATCTGGAGAAGGTGTGTGAAACAGAAGGAGGGATCTGTGGGCTGGAAAGAGTAAAAAATGGGAAAATCAGTTGCAGCAGAGCTCTTGGAGGAAAGGTTACTTTGGGGTAAAACTCCCATGGGAGTGTTATACTCACATACTCAGCCCACTTGCTCATGATTCACAGCTTTTTCTTTAGTTTGGCAGATAATTTGCGGACTACCACAAAAAAAAAAAATCTCAGTTGCTCTTTCACAACTTGAATATACAAGCAAAGTGAAATATATAAAGTTTTCCTCAAGATTTTGGGGTGCTATGTTGGGCACCAAATTTCAAACTCTTCGAAGGGAAGAGTTTTCACAATAGAGAACAACTCCACACTGTCTGAAGATGAGGTCTCTGCAAAATGTTTCAGTTTTGTCAGGTTGACTGGCCTGAATTTTAGTAACCTCTTATACCAAAAGTGCTCTAACAATTACAGTGGAAGGATTAGCACAGCGCTAGATTTACAAAGACATCCTGTGGCTTCTTATTCCTGTCAATTAGCACATTATTGTTCCCTGAATTATGAGGGCTCTGCACGTAATTTAATTTGCAAATTAAATGTTTCCTGTTAGCCAGTAACAATACCTGACAGCTAAATAGAGGTGCTGCTGTTGGAGGCAAAACCCTGACCAGAGGAAGCTGCCTAAACAAAGGCAGAGAAGGCAAGTCAACAGTAAGCAGATGTTTAAAATGAAGGACTTTGCTACACAGATGCACGGCTTTGCGTCTGCTGGTGAATGAATTTCCTGCACTTTGGAAAAGCTGACAGATGACTGCTTGATTCAAAGCAAATACACCCCCAGAGTACCCATTAATGGGAAGGGCAGCAGGAGGTTGGTACAAGTCTGTGGTTTGGATATTGTGGGGTTTTTTTTCCTTCAGTGTGATCATCTTGTCATGGTCTTTCCTACTATCCTTATGTTATGGCTGGACATTAATGTGACCAGATAAGGAAATTTTGGCAAGAAATGGGCAAACATAGGTCTGTGTGACCTTCATTTGTTTTGTACAGTAAGAGGCACGTACTTCTTACTTTGAAATGAGATTTAGCCCTTAAAGTCAATGATATACAGAAATAATTTGGCAGACACTTTCTTCCCTACTACTTGCAGTGGTCCCAGTGGAACAAGGTTAAAGTGGGTGAAACTCCTCTGTTTTAAAGCTGGAAAAGAGAAAAAAGAAAGGAAAAGCACGCACAAAACCGCTCTCCATAATCAAACCAAAAACACCCCACCAAACCCAAGTGAAGACCTCCTCTTACATACCCAGGAAGGTATGTTCTACATGTCAAGTATCCAAAATCCATCCCATCACAGTCTTCAACCCCCTCATGCTTGTAGCCATCTCCGCAGTAAGCACGGCGGCACCCTAGTGAAAAATAAAGAAATAAACACTTTCCAGGCACTTCACATGTCAAAGAAACAGGTGAAGTGACTGGGACTAGCTTTTAAAGGGTTAAGTATAAAGTGAGATATTTTGAGGAAGGCATTCTGTAAGGACTCTCTTAGGAGGAGCAGTACTCTTCACTACAAAGAATGTACTTTTTTCAGCTGATTTCTGTGGTGAAGGGAAAGAATGGATAAATGCTAAAAATAATTACTACAGAATCAGTAATTACAACAGCACTTATTTGAAACTTATTATTGCCATAGATAATTACCATCAAAACAATTTAAGGGAAACATAAAATACAGTTAACATAAAATTATTTGGGGAAGTCACAATCTCAAAAAAATAATCTTAGGTGGTCAACTGGTTTGGAATTCCCAACTTAGACCTTTATCCAATTCTGTGCAAAATCTGTGTTTGTCTGCTGTGAGTTTCCACATATGAACGAAATTTTGCAGCCTGTCTATAAAGAAATAAAATATATAAGTGTTGCCAAAATCGTGTCTTTCCCACTGCTGACTCTTACTGACTTGAGAGTGAGTGGGATTTGTCACATTTTTTCATGGTGACTGACATGTAGGCTGCAGTAATTTGTGGGTTTGTTTGCCATTTTAGCAATTGGACTTTGATTTTGATATCTACAGCATATTGAGAATGACTTTCTAATGTGAACAAATTAATTTAGTTAAAATCCCTTTGACATCTTCTGGGAGAATCCATTGGTATCAAGCAAAGGATTAAATAGACAGGAGCAGGGAGTTTTTAAGAGGCTAAAGTGGGTTATTTACAAATAGAAATGATTAATTAATTGCACCAAGGATGTGTTTGTCAGAAATTGATGCTTCTAAGACCGACAAGCCTCTTTTACAATAAAATCCATTTAACATTCATCTAGCCTTTTCCTTTTGGTTCAGTTACAGGAGAAGGACGACAACAGTGAGCTTATTTCCAAATAACTCAAGGATGGGTCACATCAGTGTCAGAAATCTGTACTGCAAGGCCTCCATTGAGGCTTTGCCCTGTGCATAGCTCAGAGAACATGATGTGCCCTCAGACACAGAGTGCACAATTTTGCAGGCACTGGAACTAATGAACACTATCTTGCCACATTGTTGTTCCCCATGTCTGATTGCAAGTTCTAATTTAATCGTTTCCTCATGTCTGGAAACAGGAGAGATGTTGTCAGCTGTCTCTCTGGAGTACTCTGCAGTCAGGCAAGCTTAGACGGGCTTTTATTTATGTGTCTCCCTAGACCTGTTGAGATGGAATTGCCTTTGAAATCTCTTTCCTGTTGTCATTGAGAAGTTGGTGGGTATTCCTAAGTCGTAAGGGGAAGGGTGGTGATGGACAGCTGGATTGGGAAACTTGCACAGGGCATGGTTGCACACACCCCATTTTCAAAGTCAGTGAGTCATATATAAATGAAAAATTGCATCTTTCAGTGTTGCATAATACTGTTCTGAAGTGTGAAGAAGCACCCCTTTGCTGGGAACAACACAGCACCAAACCTACTATGTGGAGATGGTGTAGGGCTGTGCTCTGGGGAAGGATTCAAGATGTAAAAGTAACTGAGAGAGGGGGAAGTGAAGGTTACCACAGTTGCTCAAATGCTTATATGCTCTTTGTATGCTCTTATATGCTCTTTGCTATCCACAATCAGCAAAATGGAAGGAGGATGGAGTAGACATGTGTCCTGGGTTGACTATATGATGCTTTTATCCCCAATCGTCTCGTTCCGTTTATGCTGAATAATAAGTGTTGCACCTTTAAGCCTTGTTCCAGAGAGTGAAGGGGGGAGAGAAGAAGCAGCAGTTTGTTATCAGACACTGCACTCACTCCTCCACATTCCTGCTCCTGACTGTGTTGTCTGCGGACGGACAGACAGTGGGATGGAGATCTTTTTTTGTCTTTAGTTAGTTTTAGCTAGCTGAGGGAAACAAGTTTCCTGGACTGTGGTTTTTATCCCTTTTCTTCAGACCTCTTGAAACCTGCTCTGGCCTGAACACCCAGCAGAGCACCGGCAGCTCACACCTGTGGCCCACCGGGCCGGGCCTGGCCTACGACATTTCCAGCACCAGAGGGACTGACCAGAGACTGAGTGAGCTGAGCTGCAACCCGGGGATGGGGTTTTCTCAGTTTGTCATCTCTTTTGGAGCGGCAAGGGGTTTTATTGGTTAATATTGTTTAGGTTTTATTGCTTAATAAACAGTTTTTTTCCACTTTTCTCCAAGGAGGTATTTTCTCCCAGACCGGTTGATGGGAGGGTCGGATTGAATTTTCCTACTGGAGCCCCTTTGGGGATTCTCTCCCAGATTTGCTCTGAACCAGAACAACATGCATTAAATGTTATGTAAATCTGATAGTGAAGGTAGTGGGCTGACACCTTCCCTATGCAAGTGAACAACAAAATCCAAAGTAGTGTTTCTAGACTTAGGACCTATTTTATCGTAAGAAACAGTGTCTATCCCAAGGGCTCCAGTGTCTATCCCAAGGGCTGTGCTGCACTGCAAACGTGTGCTACAGCTTTCAGAGAGAGCTGGCAGCCCCCAGGAAAGGTGTGTGTGTAACCCAGCTGCTGGATGGCCCTCGAAATGCAGAGTTTCTGACTCAACAAGGATGCAGAGAAGTGCTGTTGTCACTTCTGTCCTGTGTGGTGTGTGCCATCCACATGCATGGATGCCTCAGTTTTCACCCTGTGGCCATCGTCCCTCCCTTTCCCCAGGCCTGCCCTTGATCCACAAACCACACAAACTCTCCCAGACACAAGCAGTGTACCCTGCGGTACAACTAATGCACCTTCCCTGGCAGGAGGAAGCCCCTCCTGCTGTGCTGTAACTCACTTATGCAGTCATCGGTCACCACCGCGTTGCCGTCGTCGCACTCCTCCCCATCCTGCACGATTCCATCTCCACAGGTGCCCCCCTCCTCCAGGCGGTAATCCATGGGGTACAGAGGGGAGAGCTGGCCAGGAAAACACACAGGGGTTACTGAACCACATCAGCAGCAGCCTGGCTAGCAAGCAGAGGAGAAGGGCTCTAGGGGCCAGGTTTTATGGCTTGTTATTTGTTGGCTAGAAAGTTTATACAGAATCTGATCCAAAGTCCAGCAGACACAAGAAGGATGCTGTTGCTAATTTCAGCAGGACTCAGCTCCTTGAAGCAATAAGGAAATATGTGAATTTGGTTTGCAGGGTTTTAGTTCTGCAACTCTGTACCCTGGTGAGTTTTGCCTTATTTTGTATTAAATAAAAACTCTTTTTCCCACCCTAATTCCCTGAACTCTGCTCCAGTTTGTTCACCTGTGGTTCAGAGGAAGGTTAGCATAACCTGCAACACTGCTGAGTTAATTCCTAAGTAATTAAGACTCCTGAGAATAAAATTCACAGAATTATGTACAGTTGTGGCAGTGTTCAAAAATGAGCTTTTCCCCATTTGCTTAACTGATTTGGTATGACACCTTTAGTACAGAAGTACGTTCTGTATTCCAAATGAAACATACACTCACGGGTTTTCAGAGACCACAGTCATATTTTTACCTGGACTGGGAGCCATCCAAAGGTATCTTTGAAATACAAAGATCTCTGATCTCTTCTAAATGCTAACGCGTTCTCAGTGTTTAACCGGTCCAATTCTTCTTGATTGTTCACCACAAAAATCTGGGGCACAGAAAAAGAGATGATTGGTAACCTTCTCAAGAAATTCTTTGGATTGTCACAGAATCTAGTTTGGCATATGTATCTTCAAATAGGTAAATAATATACAGGAAAATGGTTTAGTTGTTTTCAGAAAGAGAAGAGGTGAGAAGCTATAGCAACGGAAAGAATGGTCTTTCCTGGGCCCCTATTTTGAAGTGCACATCCTCAAGTAAAAATCATACAAACAGTAGTGCACAATCACTGCTGAGAAGAACCATGATACTCAAATGGTTTGATGCTGAAGCAATTGCAAAATCCAAATGGGCATAAGTGCTTTTTGTGGATTGACTATAACTTTTTAGGCATGTTTGTGGCTACAAAATAAATAATGCATGGCTTAATACAACCTTCACTTAACTTTTACCTCTTTGTTATTTCTTTAGATTTAATTGACACTAAAATGCATGTTTCTTTATATGCATATACTATGGTCTGAGGCCAAGTCTCCAATTATACTGCAAAAAAAAAAAAAAAGTTCAAAATGGAAAAATTAGGACAAGCTGCTCTCTTACCCATTTCTTTAATGTCTCAATCACTGAAATTGGATGTAAAAGGCATTAGAAAATAAGCTCTTCCTTCAGCAGCTTAATCAATTTAATTTTTGTAAGATTCAAGCCATTTTTAAATTAAGAAAAAGCAAATAGAGTGTTTCTGGGCAAAATAGTTTTAGGTCTGACTCTGATTCTCACCAACATAAACAGAATTGGCTCTTTAAAAAACAAGTTACCTTAACATTTTTACATAGCAGAACATTCCCATAACCTTGGAGGAAGGCCAATTTCATTAAAGAAGCATTGAATAAAAATGCCTTCAGCTTGAATGAAAGGAAGCAAATAAATAGGAAGCCAGCACAGAACTGATTCTGAAATTGGAGCTCATCCCCAGAGCTCCAATTTCTCTTGAAATCAATAACAAAATTATGCTGTCTCAAACCATTACAGATATCAGCCTTTAAAATTGCACAAGATTTTAAAAAATTGAATGAATCTAAGCCAATGACAGGAAACCAGCACTTTGTTTCCCAGCCTCTGCCCTCCTCTGGAGGAGCTGCTGGGTGCATGGGTGGTGGCACTGAGGTTGTGCTGCTTTGGCAAACCACAGGGCACACAGCACCACCTCTGGGTCTTTCCGATGTGCAGCTATAGAATCCTGACAAGAGCTTTCAAGTGGCCTAAGACAGGCTTCAAAGCTGCTACATGGGGATCTGGACAGAATAAACAATAATGATGTTTAAGCTTTGGTTTAAGTTCAAGTGTTCTTTACTCTCAAGGGAGTAAAACAAAAGGGGCGGGCAGGAAAACAGGTAATGCAGCTCTGGAAGTGCTTCATTTCCAGAGTTAAGCCTTGCCTTTTTGCCTTCCCACATTCCTGGCAACAAAATGGCACCTGGGGCCTCATAGTGATAGTGTATGGTATTTTACATGTTTACACTCTCATTACTATCTTTTAAGATCCTATCTTTTAAGATAGGAAACTGTGCCTGATGGCGAAGGAGGGTGATGAGACCTCTACATTATATTGAGAGCCTTAAAGCTTTTCCTATGAGTTCTCGAGGCTGCAAAGTACATGGTGGGGGTTTTTTGCACAGTGTGGTGTGATATGCACCTTTATTTCAGCACATTCATCTCTCACCATTATGTTTTCAAAACAACAGGAGGATGTTTTCTAATACAGCACAGCCAGGGATGAAGGAGCAGCTGGCCCAGCTGCCAAGACCTGAAACCCACTTGTGCAAAAGGCTGAGCTCAATGACCCAGTTTAATGGTGCTGTGAGTGTGTCCCTTCCACACACCGTGACAGCTTTCTGACACTGTGACAGGTGGGGCTTTGACAAAGCCAATTGCTGCTCATTGGCATTCAGAGACAAGCAGACACCACACCATTTCCTCTTGCATGGGGGGAGTGGCTGAGCTGTGCTGGCACACAGCACCAAGGGAGCATCTTTATCACTGACTGAGTGCTGCACTGCACAGATTAATGAGGCAGGGCCCAGCAGAAGGAGAAGGACATAAACAGTAGCCACAAAGCCCAAAGAAATCAGTGATAAAAAATTACTAGGTCACATTTCATCAATGCCTTGTCCTTTAAAGAATTTTGTCCAATTTGCTCATAAAAATGCTTTCAAGGCTAGAGATGGAAATCAGCCATATAATGTGTATGTCTGCAGACTGGAGCCCAGACACCTGATTCTCACAGTTTGTGGAAACTCCTGTTATTGAGGCTCTGTGCTCTGGGAGAAAGCTCTATTGCATATGTGAAATGCTTGATCCCAAAATTTAATTCTGAAATCACTGTCTTAAAAAAGCCCTAAACAAACAAGAAAGGTATGTTTACTTTACTGACCAATCTGAAATGTATTTCGATTTAATGAAATAAAAAGGACAGATTACATGTGTACAGTAGTAGATGAAAGAGAGCACTCCTAGGCTTGAAAAACATTTCCAAATATGTGCTACCTTACTGATGTTTTGGAACAGATGCATTTCAGCACATCAATCACACAACAAGTTACAAGACTGAATTTTTTTGCACCTCTGGATTTCAGAGGTTTTGGGTACTAGAAATCACACATTGCCTATATATCTTCCTATTAAACAAAAAGTATTAGTGAGTACAACACCTCTCATAACAAAAGCACTTCAGAACTGCTCACATCCCCTCCCAGAAAAGCTGCTTACCGCGGGAACCTTGGGGTAGCTGTGTCCAAACACAGATTGCTCATATGATGGGTTACTCATTTGCTGTGGGGTTCTGCAGAGACATCTCCCTGGAGGCCCTGGAAGTCCTCTTTCTCCCTTTGGTCCTATTGCAAATTGCCCTAGAAAGCAGAGGACCAGTTTGCCTTGTTATGATGTTACTACACACCACACACACACAACCTTAGGGGGAAAAGTACAGGTCAGGTGGATATATGCATTTACCCAAGTTTTCAGACAGACACAGCTCCCACCAATTCCACTAGGAGCCGAAGGGAGGCAGTAATTCCAGTGCTTCAGGAGAAAGATGCCAGTTTTTTACCACAGTCATGTTATTTCAGATCACCTTCTGAATTTTTCTACCAGTTTTACAGAGGAAGAGAGAGACCATTTGCTTAGAATAAATGTCAGCCTGTTTGAAGCTACAGAAATTCAGGAGAGGATGAACACACATATCACTCTACAACGCCTACACACCAAGTTTTGTAGAGTTAGTCTCTGTACAAGTCCACAACAGATTGGACTTGTGCCTTTGTACAACCACTTGAGCAATGCTGTTTCACAGGTTTCTATACAGCAAAAACCCAACTAAAAATGTAGGAGCTTTTAAATGTTTTAATTAAACATTAATAAAAAAATACTGCTTTTTGACTTTCAAACTCTGGCAAGGATGCACTGCTCTGCAGATTTAGATTAAAAGCCAATGTGGTCATACTGCAAGCAGTTGCATCATTACAGAAATGTCTTTTAGGATCAAAATTTATATTCTGGAGGAAAAAGATTAATAACCCTGACACATAAACTTTCTGTGGATGGAATAAAGTCTTGAAAAAGTAATCTCAAGGTCCTGGCTGCCTTCCCATCAGCACGGTGAAAATTCTGCCTTCTGAAAGCTTCCAGCTAATTTACTCAAGCAAAGATGCTTCTTAATGGGAGCCATGAGATATGTGAAGATTCTGAAGCTGTGCTCAGCTTCACAGATGTCCCGTTTCCACATCACGACAAGAAGAGATCTCCTGTCCACTAATGCAATCAAAGGTAGAAAAAGGGAAAGCAAAATGGAAGGGGACATTGTGTGTTGTGGGTCATGTATTGTCCTTCCTGTCCATTTTGGACCCAAAAGCTGACCAGGGTTCATGTGCATGCACAGCTCTGAGGATGTACAATTATGTTATTACAAGGTTTTTCTCATAATTTCTACATTTGCACAATTGCAGTGAGCATAGATCTCAAGCATTTAATTACATAGAGATTTTCTCCACTGCTCTCTTTTTCTCCTGACTCCTATCTCTTTCCATTCTCTTCCCTTATTTCCTTAAGGACACTGTAACTTGAATCTCATCTGTTTTTCCCTTTCAGAGCTGCCCAGGGTGAACTTGTCCTGTCTGATTAGAAATCACAGTTTTTCATTGCAAGCCAGGATATCTGGAGAGGCAGACCTTTGATAATGGAGATTACCTAGTCTCTCCAAGGCTGCCAGATGGCTTTTCATCATCCCCATCTACAAAAATCCCTCAGGGACTACATAGGTTTTATCTGAAACATCAGAAGCCATAAAGTGGGTTTTAAAATAATGGACAAGGATGGCATGACCTGCCTCCAGGAGAAATCCTCTCCTTGCCATGGATGGAGAAGCAAACAAAGCCTTTGTGCAGAGGGGTCTGTGTGTGCCTGATGAGTCAGGAGGGGCTGGGGAGCAGGGACACTCCTGGGGAGTGTTTTTTGTTTACCTCATTTTTGGCTTACCTAGTCCTGAGGGCCCAGGGGGGCCTGGCTGGCCAACAGGACCAGGCCTGCCAGGCGGGCCCATGACACCCGCGGGTCCAATGTCCCCCTTGAGTCCCTGGAAGAGAAGTGACATCCATGTCTTGGCTAAGCTATTTGCAACAAACAAAACAAACAAACATTAGCAACAAGCCAGCACTGGCTTCCCATTTAAGAAAGCCAAGACATTTGCCAGAAGAAGCATGAGCTTCATGGACACACCCTGGGGAACAAGGGCTGTCCTCTCCTACATGGAGACAAAAGGGCATGCCCAGGCAGGACTTCTGCTCCCAAATGGGAATGGTCACGGGGATCTGCCCTGGGAGGAGTCAGCAATCACCCTGCTCTGACTTCAATCATTTGATAGCCTTTCTTTCAGAATGCCTGTTTAACCCCTGTAACTCTCTAGAAGTGAGTGCCCCTGAGAAAGAAAGGGGAAAATCACTGAGGAGTTGTCAAGGGCTTCCACAGTGACATTTCCTAGTCTTAGGGTGCAGCCTTTCAGAAGCTCACTGATGACTTTGACAGTCACACTATTTTCAGAATGTTTGAGGTGCCTGGGTTCCTGTATCTCCTCGACTTTCACCATGGGTATGGCTAGGATAACAAATCATCACAAGCCAAGCCAGGGGTTGGCCTTACAAGTGCAGCTTGATGTTTAGCAGTCCCATGCTGAGAAATGTTGTCCCTCTGGCAGCAGCAGCAAATGCTGCAAAATTACATGTGGGAGAGGGGCTTGCACACACAATAGCTGATATTCTCAAAAATCAGCCCTAATTTGCCTCATGGGAGCTTGTTTGTGCAGCCATACCCTAAGGCATTTGGAAGTTTCAGCCTAGAACTGTTTGGCACCTTCTCATTTTTTGCTCCTGAATTTAATACGGTGACACTTATTAAAAATAACTATATTTATCTTCCTGCTCATATACTCTCCAAGGCTTGGATTTCTCAGCTTTATATTTCAGAAGTGTATTACATAGCCTAAAGTTTAAATATCTGACTTGATTTTTATGTAGCAGCAAATATTATTTAGGATAATAAAAATGATGTGCGCTCTGTAAACTTTCTTTTAATGACAAAGGAGATTATTTCCTTGAAGATGGTGTAATTCCAGGTTAATGTGCATTCAGAATCATACAATGAATGGCTGCATGTCTAATTTAAGAGTAGCAAAGCATATATATTAATATATGCTTAAATAATTGTTGCTATATAATATGTTACATCCCATGTATACGTTTGAATGTCGCTTGCACCATTTCAGCAAAGGAAGGCTGATTTTGCCATGGCCTATAAAGAACTAATTGAATATTTGCTTTGTTTAATCCTATTAGGTAAGCTCTGAGCCATAAAAATATTTCAGGATTTACGTGAATGTCAGTGATGCTGATCTCTAATTACTTCTTACATTATGCAACACAGAACTAGCAGACCAGGATTTTGTAGCCCCAAAGAAGTCTGTGGGAAATCTCCTTCCCCCACACAACAGCAATTTGACAGAGGCAAGGCAGTGCCAGTTGGATGTGTACTGACTGAAAACAAGCTGTTTTCTGCGTCCCCTGCTTGGAGGGATGATTGCTTAATGCCTTCCTGCTTAGCACTGATGGATTAGATAATAATGGCAAGGCTTGATGTTCAATGTTTTTTCCTTGTTTATCTTTCACACGTGCCCACGGCATTGGGAGAAGCTTTTCCCATTGACAATATTTGTGCTCATGCCCTTTCTTCCAAACCAACATTACCCAAAACCCTAAGTCATTCCTCCTTGTCAAGACTGAAACCCTAAACTGGGGTTTGCCTGGGGTCAGTTCCCAAGTTATAAAGCTTTGGGTGCTGTGTCTCGGTCAGCTGTGTAAGGCTGTGACTTGTGACTCCCAGCTCCTGGCCACGATTCAGGAAGAGCCTGTCCCAGGGGCAGGGAGACTTGAAGAAGTCAGTGAGCTAATCAAGACATATCTGGAAATGCAAGTGGAAGTGACACCTGCTTAATTTAGCTGCTTTTATCTAGGCATGTCAGCTGGATCAAGAGACAGGAAATGGCCCCATGCTGGTGGAAACTATCCTCCTCTCAGCTGGACAAACAGCCAGACCACTACGGCGCTTAAAGGTGGCAGCCAGACCCACAGAGCCTTAAAATTCCACTCCCTGGTTTTTTCACAGGATTAAAAAAGAAGAAAGGAAATAAGTTCACCAGTTACAGAGAGGGAAAGCCTTTTTCAGACTGAATCAATGCTAAGATATTCCACAGCACATAGGTAGGAGAGATAAACGGTTAAAAAAAAAAAAAAAAAAAAAAAAGCAAACCCAGCAAAGAGCACACAACAGCTTTTAAAACCTGACAAATCTAGGACAGAAAAACATTTCTTGTCGGCCATCTAGGAGACTTACATTGCTCATACCTCCCTTACTTGGGGATCTATTACTTCCTCCCTAACACCTAGCTCTTCTTTTTGCCCCACACTGGCTACCTTGCCACTTCAGATATTACCTGGTTTCATCAGAGCAACAGCGAAGCAGGGATGTGCCTCTCCTTGCTATGCTGGGTATAACAAGACTGCAAATAAACCACTTCCAGCTAAGCCCCTACTACTGAAATGCTGCTTTGGTGGAGTCAGTATCCAATTTACACACAATTCTGAGTCTTTACAATTCAGCTGGAACTCTGAAAATGTAGCTCTGCTGGCATAATTTTGAGCTCTCTAGCTGTCAGGTGGGGCTGGGACCATAGCTCTGTGTTGCTTAGGATTCAAAGGAAGCCTTCAAGATCTGGTCAAATTGTATTAAATGAGTTCATTACCAATCCAGGATAAAAACAACTTTTCCCATCCTGCCTGGGCAGGGAGCTGAGTGCTGCAGACAAGACTCCAGCCCTAAAGCTGAGGGGTTTTTTGCCTGTGAGGTGTTCTAGGGCTTCTCTCCCCTCCCTGGGCAACACAGTGCATGGTACAAGAGCTTAGACCACACAGTCACACAGATACCACGAGTCACAGGAAGAGGAAACACCGTGGTCCTACTTGTTTGCCTCGTTTTCCAGGTCTTCCTATAGGTCCTCTGTGTCCTGGTACTCCAGACTGTCCCTTGGGGCCCATCTCTCCCTTGGTGGGTGCAAAGGGAAGGAAGAAGGAAGTTAAGTACATGGTTTTACCTGCCTCGAGCAAGACAGCAGATACACATGATTGTAATTCACACAATTCCTCTAGATAATGCTGGCGCTGTTTCTTTCTTAGAAATCCAAAATTATAATAAAATAGTTTAAAACAAACAAAAAGTAAAAAGAAGCTCATACAATTTACCCACATACCCTTGAAAAATACCTTTCCTAAGGAAGAGGCCACATGAGATCAGGAATGCACTTAGAGACGTGGAGAGGTCAAGGCTGGGAAAGCTCTCTGACCCCTTTGCAATGTCTTGCTTTGCTGTTAAGATGCACATGTGATGAAAATACTTAGGGAAAGGAAGGTAAATTCACTCATCTTCTCATCTCTCTAGAAGCAACTATTAATTCCTTTTCTAATTTCAGAGGCATAGTTAGATTATGTACTAAAATTATCCACCTTTAAGTTTTCCATAAGCCAGAACCTGAATTTTCATTGTTTTTCAAGTACAGAATAATGATGAATTAAAAATTTGTCAGGGTTATCACTGCTATATACAGTAATGCCATTTTATTTCAGAGTATCAAGAAGGAAATATTTACTCGTTTCAAGTGAATAAAACTTTAGAAATTAGGGCATTTAAATAGGAGGGAGATTATAACTAAAGAAATAACTGGGGGGGGGGGGGAGGAGGAGGAAGAGAAACAGCACCAAAGAGCTAAATCTGAGTTTTCTCTTAAGCTAAAAAGAATTTGATGAGTCCAGGCAATGTTGGTCTCTGAGTCAAGCAAGACCTTCAATGTCTTATGACATCCCAGAAGTCCATGAATCCACTAATTGAGCTTTTCTCAGCATTTAACACAACTGCCAGCATATCACACCCACTTACTTACTTTTTGTCCCAGCATTCCAGGGAAGCCTATTTCTCCCTACAAAGTCAAAGGAGAAAAATAATCAGAATATATGTAGTGATCTTTGACAAAGCAGCACCTTCCTTGGAAGGAAAAAACCAATTGTCATGTGTGGGTATCAGTTAAAAACCCCTGCACTGACTCAGCACTGCAGGTAATGCAGTAGGTGCAGATTTATAAGCAAAATTTTACTATAAAGCTCCTTGTATGGTGCCATTACTCCTCTGTCTGATCCTCTGCTGCCAGTTTCTGCTTCTCTAGCAAAATCATCCTGATTGTTCTCTTGTCTACTGGCAGCTCTGCAACCTGGACAGCTCCCAAAGCCTGCCTATGGGAATGGCATTTCTGCATTTGCACCAAAGGCAGTTTACTTTTCCTTTCTTAGTCCAAAGGAACCCCCAAGCATGAATCTCCCCCGCTCTTCCCCTCCCGGTGTTATCCTATGACCAGCTGAAAGCATTCTGGGGAGCTGCCGTGGTTCTGGGCTGCACAGCCCAGGAGGGGCTGGGTGACTGCAGGGAAACCCTCCTGTGACTCATTAACCCCCTGTGCCCCGGGCTGGGGGCTCAGGGACATGGAGCTGCCCCGCTGCCCTCCCAGCGGATGGAACACTGCTCTCCCTCACCACTCCTGCCCTCCCTGGAAGATGCTGCCAGGCTCCTTTCCTCCATGCCCCTCCTGGTTTTCCCTGTCAGATCCTCAGATGCACATTCACAGCCATCTGGGAAAGAAAATTACCGGGTCTCCTTTGACTCCTTTGTCGCCTCTGTCACCTCTGGATCCCTGAAGAGAGATAACAGTAGAACAACAGACCAATTACTACCATTTCATGAAGGAGCAAAAAAAATTTTTTCCCATACAATGCATTATTGAATTCAACAGAGTACAGTAATATCTTCAGAGTGAGAGATATGCTTCATTACTGATATCATAACAGAATTAATGCTAAGGACTGTAGGAAAAGAGAGTCATTCTCCCCAGATAATTACTTTAAATATATGCTTTCCTGGACATAATACTTTCAATTTTTTTTTTCCCAGTTCAGATCCCACTGAAAGATCCTAGAGTACAAGTGTCTCAGTGCCAAAGCACGTGTCACCTAACTAAACCAGACCAACAATTAAGGATTATTTTACCCATGTTGCAGATGGGGAACCTGTAGTGAGTTTCACTGTAGCAACTTGTTCATAAGGATTCAGGGTGTAAAACTCAGTTCTTCAGCACCCCAGCCCAAGCCACAAGACTGTGCTCCTTCTCAGTACATGTTTTCATCTCTCAGTGGGACTTTTAGACTTCATCAAAATTCAACCTCCTTTCTACAGTTGCATTTTTTAAAAAAAATGTGTTTCCAAATGTTAAATTATACATTATGCTGTTGTCACACTGACCTTTTCTCCTCTAGTTCCAGGAAAACCCTAAAGGGAATGATAGATATTTTAATGCTTCTCACTTTCAAGATCACCCAAGAAGCCGGACTTTCAAACTTTGAAGTGAAGAAAAAGAACGAAGCACAAAGAATTAATTGCATCAACACATAAAGGCAAATGAATATTTACAGTTCCTAAACTTGCACTGAAACAGAACTGTGAAATATGAATTAAAGGCAAGACAGCTCAGCCCAAAAGCCATTATGAATAAGACAGGTAAAGCCAGCAGCTTTGATAATGCTTTGAAATTTAAACAAGTGAAATAAATTGTAACTGAGAGTAAATAAAGCATTAGAAGATACAATTCATAATTTGAAATAATTTTAACAATAATCTTCCTCTTCTGTTTTGCTTGTTTGTTATTTTCCTCCCTGGAACATACTTAAGTTATACTTTGTATAACTTAAGTAATGTAGTGCGATCATTAACATAAAACTGAGTTTCTCTTGAAGATATGTGGAATAAAAAAAGGTGTTCAGTTTTTCTTTCCAATTCCTTATTTGAATAAACTAATTGCATAATTTATTCCAACTGCCAGTAATATGCCTAGTTCTAGTAGGGGACCAAAATGAATTTTCACAGTCTTATGAGGTGGGTGGGAAACATTGCAGACATGATTTAATGCTGCAGGTATGCTTAAGAACTCCATTTTTCCAGTGGGATACAATTATTTCTGAGCTTGCTTTTAAAATAAATTACAAAAATTTATAACAAAGCAGTTTTACAAAAAGCCAAAAACACAGCCAAGCCCAAACAGACAACATAACCTTGCTTGATGTAGAACATAATTTTTATCTGTATTAGACACATACATCTTGATAAATGCTTTCCAGAAAACTGATGAAGGAAGCAGCTGTCAGCAGAGCATTAGAAACCAATGTCTGAAAATGCAGTTTGGTTAACAAACCTTGGAGCCCATTGGTCCTCTTGTACCTGGCAATCCCATCACACCCAACTCTCCCTTTTCACCCTAAAGGGTTCAATAAAGAGAGTTATTGAATGAGGCTCTCCCATGAGGTCATATTTGAATGTCTGACAGTTCACTGGTTCAGGTAGGTTTTATGTCAAATTGTTAAGCCTGACCTTGGTGTAGCATTGTGGACAGGGGTTTATATTGCAATTGTATTCTGCCTGAGCCCTCACATGTTATCTTACTCTTCTATTTGAATTTTCTTGTGTGGGTAACTTTTGCTTCAGTTTTCCCAGCTGTTATTAAAGGCCATACAAGCAAAGCACCCTCAGCAGTGCATCCTTTTCTGCATGAAGGTGCATTGTCTGTACCCAGCATCACCTCTACTGAGCTGCAGAAAAGAAAGGCCTTTTTCTGCATGCCTCACAGCTTGCGGGGGCAGAGTGACTGCTTTTACAGTAGTTCTGAGGCACCATGTGCTGAACAGTCTTTTGGAGCCAGTAAAACATGAAAATGTTTTACAACCACTTCTCTGGCTGCCATCAACTAATTATATCTAGCATGAAATAGAGATGGACCCCCGGACATGCAGCAGTGCTACCAGCAGAACATTTGGCTCTTACTCTCCCTTGGCCTTCACTGTCCCACAAATTGAAAAGATTTTCCCATTGGCTGCTGCCTCTGCAGAAGTTCAGACAAGACTTGAAGGAACAAAGTAGGAGAAATAGGGACTGAAGTTAGGCTGTGTCTAAGTAAGAGAAAACAAGAAGAACCATCTGAAGAAATGGCAAATATCCACATATGGATATGAGCTTAAAAACCTGGAACAGCATCTTAGTGGAGATTAACAGCAAGATGGAGATGCAGTAAATATCTGTGATGAGGAAGAATATTGTAAGTTGGTGAAGATCAGAGATGGGGAGAAAGGAAAGAGAGACACGACCAACTGAAATGACCACAGAGATCTTCTGCACTGTATTCAACTGGAGCCTTCACTGACAGGCAGGAAAATGAAATTTATAAAGACCAGAAAAAATGAAACTATGAACCTACATAAAGAACAGAGGAGACCAGTATCAGAAGAGACAATAAAAGCAGAAGAATTACCATCAAACAGCAAGAAGGACTTGCAGTTAAAGTGTAGGAAAAAATATTACTTCTGAATATGAGGGATGCTTCTAGGAATGTGATGAAAAAGCACAGAATTGACTAATCAAGACTAATGAGACAAAGGATATTAATCATAATTAGGAAGACCTAATAAATAAATCAATAATAAATAAAACTAACACCTATACAAGAAGAAGATTGAGTGTATGAATTTTCTCTCTCCTTTCCTCTCTTCCTTCACTAAGACTATGAAGGAAGGAATTGATTGAGCCTTTTCTCTGCCCTCTCTGCTCCTGCTGTGGGAAATCATAGCACACAATGTGTTTGTGGGGGGAACCATTTCCCATCTCACAGTTCAAAGTGAACATGAATTTCTTTTAAGTACATACTCTCTTGCTGCTTGCCTACATTCCCACAGACTATAATATGATGTTCTTCATCTAACACGGCTGGGAAGATCTTGAAAATCTGCTTCCCAGATGTGGCTTAAATTCACAAGTCAGCTCTTACTATTCTTGCAGTATCAAGAGCTAATGCATCAATCACATCCTCTGAGGTGGAGGCAGCAATCTTCATAGAGCAAAGGAAGAGTGAAAGATTTACCAGAAAAAGCAGTTTCAATCTAGGCATTGTGTGCAGTCCTTTAGCCTAATGCAACCCGGATTGAAGAAAAACACGTTGTCTCAAAAGTCCCTGTAGAAGCTCCACAAACCACAGCTCCTATGAAGAGCTATTATACCTTTTGCATAAGCCAGTGCTTACTGTCCTGAAGTTTTTTTATAACCAATACAGGTGAAACAGCCACTTTGCAGTAGCAAAGCACGCCCTGTCATTTCTTCTGCTGTTGATTAATAAAAATAACAGGAATTAATATTTGTTTGTATGAAAATGGACTTCAAAGATGTGATTAACCGTTGTCATGGTTTGTCATCTCTTTCCCTTGATATCAGCCTGGTATTTTCCCTCTGATCACGAGCTCACAGTAGATCTTCAGGCAAAGGGATCCTCATAAAGAACAGTCATAATGATGGCAAGCAGTTTAGAAATGCTGATATATGTGATTGTGAGACATCAGTGAGTCTTCACTGTAATAATTTTCAATTTCCTTTTGACATGTTTAATCCATGTAAGAAGTGCTACAGGGTCTGGACTAAAGGTGGAGTTACCTAACCCTAGACTTTGCAGAGCAGGGTAAAGGGACAAGCACAGAGTGTCCTTGCACTGCTACAGCTTCCCAGCCTCCTGCAAGTAGCTGTTTAGAGATTTCCCAAGACAACCCTTCTGTTCAGATGGTGATGTTGAGCAGTTTGTTCCATGTGGATTTCAGTCTTACCTTCTGTCCCACAGGTCCAGGCCATCCTACTGGTCCTGGCATCCCAGGGACGCCCGGGGGACCTGGTCTGCCCTTGAACGGAAAACACTGATTACAATGGTTCATAAAAACACCAATTACAATGATTCATAAAAACACCAATTACAATGATTCATAAAAACACCACTCCTGCACAGCTCCCTGCTGCAGACAGGGCATAAAAAGACCTGTGTGTACTCATATCCATACAAATCCAATTTATGTTGAGAGCAGAACCAAATCTTTAACTAACCATTCCTGTCACTACGGTCCTTATTCTGAACATTCCTACATTGATAGCTGTAATTGTTTTTTATTAACTGCTATATGGCTACCAATAACTACATCAGTACATACAGTTATTTATCTGTTTTAATTGCTGCTTGTAAATCACTCTTTGAATATTTCCTAAAATGCTGCAGATTAATGCTCTTCCACTGCATTACACGGCTTGACAATATGATGTCAGAAATGTCATCATGACTTTCAGGGCCAAGAGTGAACTCTCATGGGCCAGAAGCTTTTAACAAGAGTAGTACAGTTTTATTTCCAACCTGAGTGATTTCTCTTTCAGAACCTACTTGTATTTGTGAGAAGAGTAAGTGTTGATGTACTGTGTTTAAAGTTTAGCACTTTTTTGTGGGTTGATGTGTCATTCTCTCAAACACATTGCTGTTTTGAACCCTTTAATTTATATTAATAATATTTTTGTTTACTGTAGGGCATGAAAATAGATTAAGAAATTTGCCTCTTCTGTTTATATGTTTTATATTTATTTGAATTACTGATTGGTAGTTGGTGCCAAAATCCTTGGTATATTATTAGAAAGGTGTCAAAATCCATGGTATATTATTAGAAGGATACTTCTTTTCCCAGTTAGTGACCACCCCCTGCATATCTCTGATTTCATCCTGCATTTCTGTCTTCTTTAAAGTTAATTACATTAAATGGATGTACTAAGTGACTGAGATAACATATTCTGTTTCATCACATGTAGGGGCACATATTTTTGACAATATATCACAGCTCGTATGTCCCCAAGCATAGGATTGTAGTCAGCATATTGCATTGGTGCCAGAGCTCTGGAAGGGTAATCATTAATGGTTGTTCCTCCTTCAGGGGTATCTGGCTGAGCCTTGTTTAGACTTTGGATGAGTAAAAAGTTTGATTTTGCTTTGGGGTTTTTTGGTACATCTTTTATAATAACTCAAATAATCTGCTTCCCATTGTTCACACAGACACTTCAGGTAATGTCCCACTCTTTCCATTTTTCTTTTTTCCCAGTATTTGGCTTCTCTCCATGCTTTTTCTCAGGGAATTTGTCAAATTCAAGCCAGCTGGGGCAGCTCTCCAGCCCTGCAGACAGAGATGCCTATCATCCACTCTGGGTACCAGTGAGAGAAGTACTAACAGGCTAAACTTCAACATTAGCTAATTTCAGTTCAATTCAGTTCAATTTTATTGAACTGTTGTCTGCACCCCTCACTGGCAGCTGCTATTAAATATTGGATGGGTTTCTGAGACAGCACCTTTATTCATACCTTTCTTCCAGGCCTGCCAATCTCCCCCTGCCAGAGAAAGGGATTTGTCAGTCTTGCAGTCACCACATGAAACACAGTGGCTCTCAAGTCAATGCATCAATGCATTTATAATAAAACAAACAAACAAACATGCAAACCCACAATCCCCTCCCCTAAAAAACCAAACACCACCAAACAAAACACTGTGAATATCTTTGTGTTCAAAACTGTGCTTACAGAGGTAAAATGAGAAGAATTACTGTATTAGAGCTCCTTGGTCTTTCCTGTGTTCTCAGCCCTAAATCTACAGTCAACTCCTTGTACAACCAATCACACAATTAGCTGCTCAGCTTCAGCTGTAAGGCTCTTTGGCATCATTATGGAACAAATCATTGCACATCTAAAAACATAACATATAGGCCAGCTTTAATACCTGAGCTGTCCCATACAATTCACAGTGCATGAGAGAGTTCTGCTCCTGATGTTCTCCAGGAGGGACAGGGAGCTCAAGGCCTTTGGGTCAGTAAAATTGCTGAGTTTTGCACCTGAGATGCTTTCTCAAAGCATACCTTAAACAGAGGTCACCAAAGAAGACTATTATACTTCAAGATTGAAAATAACACAGAAAGACTAAGTCTGAAATTATAGCTTCAAGCCAATTCATAGCTTTACATTCAAATTAAAGCCAAACCTTCCATTCATAAGGCCCATCATTCACTAAACAGACAAAGAAAAAAGTGAACATCCTCCCCTGCTTCTTTTCTCCTCAAAAACACATCAAACTCCATGACAACAGACACTTACTTTCTCCCCTTTTGGTCCCATTATACCAGGAATTCCTTGTGGACCCTAGGGAGGAACATGAACGCTATTAACACTATTAATTAACATTATTATTAAACTGCATTAGTGAGGTGTTTGTGTTCCATAAGCCCTAGACCCCATATGTGTCTCCTGGGACCTGAGATGTTGAGTGTTGTGTTTGAATGTGGCTCCAAACCCCAGGTCTGTGCCACTGCTGAACAGCAGGATGGAGAGTTGGACTGTCGTGGGAATGGCAAGGGCAAGGGAAACTCATAAATGAGGAAAACCTGCAAGAAAAACAAGCCTGGGGCAAATGAAAGATGAGAAGTTATCAGAGTCCTGAAGAATTAGCAACCAGGACATGGAGACACTGCATCAGCTGGCAAAAGAGGTCAGCCCGAGGGGCGGTAAGGGAAGTAGCATAAAACATATGGGATGGGCTCTGCAGGATGCAATGGACATTGGGATTGCACCATTTCTGAATTCTGAAAAAAATTCCCTCTGAAAGGCTGATTCTCCTTTCAGGAGTTTTCTTAGTCCAGGGAGACCTTGAACACTTTTCTCAGAAAAAAGCCACCAGAAAACAGATTTGTTTCTAGAAGGCTTTGGTTTGCAGATCATCTTTTACTTTTAGATGACTAAGGAAAATAATCCCATGAGCCTGCATCAGAGAAGCATCAGATTCACTGTAAAATCACTCACTCCAGGTTTGGATCCTGCCTGTCTTATACTGTCCAAAATGTGATCAAATTGTACGTGAATAGGAGCAAAATTTATCCTCAGACACAAATTACTCCAACTACTTTAGTCAGTAGAGTTATTTTAGGTTTTCAGTAGTGAAAATCAATGCACCCTCTTAGAGTTAGAACCAAATTTAATCTTATTTATTTCTTTTTATCTTAGGATACACATGGGAGGAATTACACTCAAAGTTATACCATTACAAATCTAATTCTCCTTCTTATGAAAATTTATTAAAATTCAGCTATGAGTCAACAGTATGAACTTTTACAACTTGTCTGAAAGCCCTGCAAGCTACAGAAGAATTCGAAAGTAATTACTAGATGTCTTTGTAATGATAGTATTTCTTTGCAGGTGGCCATTGTCACAAAGTATTTCCCAAAAGACTGCTGGTTCTAATATTGTCCCCGTACAAGGCACAGTACTGTAGTTTGTAATTAAAAATTCCAAAGCCATGATATACCCATCCTACTGTCTGCTGTTATGATAAAACCTGCCAGCCTGCTCTATTTAAAAATGTTCTTGGAGGCATCATAGGTCATTTGGTAGCAAGATTAATATTATTTATAGCAATGGACTTTGTAGAACAATAGAATTAAAATTACTTTCTTGCAATTTAAGTCAGAGAGACTATCGAGAGGATTTTTTTAAAAAAGACAGTCTAGCAAAGACTGAAATAACAAGTGTATTTTTCATATGAACAGCAGCTCTGGATCATGGCCAATCACACTGTAGGGCTGATTCATAAGGCAGAGGAGACTTTCCTCAAGACAGAGCTAGGCAGACACGAGGCATCACTTCTGGCCACACTTTTCCACTCTCATGAACTAAATTAATCTTCTTCACCCTGTATCTCAGCAAAGACAAAATGGCAAAACAATAAAGACAAAGTTCGTGGGGAGTTGGAACTAGGTGATCTTTTCCAACCCAAACCATTCTATGATTCTATAAAAAGACTTTGTGGCTTTCACCTTGAAACTAACTCTTCAATTATCTTCTGAAGTACTGACTTATAAATAATTAAAGCTAAGCTTTTTGCCACATAACTGAACCTTTACTTTGATGTATTTTCCATACTTTTAAAGTAGTGTTTGGGTGCTTGCTACCTTCTCAGGCTGCCAAAGCCTCAGCCACAGCTTTGCTGAGCACAGGCCCTGAGCTGTGTCTGGGCTGTGTATGGCAATAAACTGGCACTCAGGGGGGTCAATGAGGAAGATCATTGTCCCAAGGCACCAGGCACAGCACATGGATTGGGACTGCCCCAGCAGGAACTGGAAGTGCCTCTCCATGAAAACTCTCCATTTTCTTTGGAGAGAACTGGAATGGAAAGGCAAACGGATGATCCTCTCAACAATACAGAGATGTTCATAAAAAACTTCCCTCTAGGGGTGGCTCATTTCCTCAGAAGAAGAAGGCCAGGTTGGATGGGGTTCTGAGCGACCTGGTATGGTTGTATTGTCTCTGTTCATTGTAGGGAGGTTCTGCTTGCTGACCTTTAAGGTCCCTTCCAACTCAAACTGTTATGTGACTCTAAGATTTCTGACCTTCCTCTGAAGATTTCTGAAAGAATAAATTGTAGGAAATGAGGTGTGAGGTCAAAAAGACTGGTCTGAGGTTATCCAGCAAGTCAGAGGCAGAAACGTTGCAGGTCAAGCTAGCAGACCCTGCACCTCCTGACTCCCACCCCAGTGCCCTGCTAAGCCCCTCCTTGTCCCTGATTTTGCTGTAGATGTTTGCCTTCTCAGGGATGTACTCTGCTAACATCCCAGCCCATTTTATGCCTTCTGCATCCACTCCACAGGCTCTTATCCTCACAAAAAAAAACCAAACAGAGTCTAAAGCAAAGAAAAGACTGACAAGAAGCATCTGAAGGAAGTGATGACACATCTGTGATTTTTGATGGGTGCTATCCACTGTAAAACTCCACAAAAATGAAGGGTGAACTTGAAACAGAATGAAGTGTGTAAGGCAGGGATGAGAACATAGGGTAAAAAGCCTACATGATTTATACAAAGTCATATCAAAATGAATTTTAGCCAGAGCTTGGCATGCTTATTGGGTGGTGAAAGGCATTTTCATGTGTTTCACAGCTTTGTAAGGACTTTGGAGCAAGTGAGAGAATGATGTGGTCTCATCACACATGCCTCACTCACCTGGGGGCCAGGAGGCCCTGCAGAGCAGTGCAATTCAGGCAGAGTGGAAGCCTGTATTATCTGGAGCTCATGGCACAGCTCTTCCATATCCAGCTTCTATGAAACATCAAACATATGAGTGAACATGCAGCCACATGTAGCCTGTTGGAGAAATGCATAAAATTCCAGCCACCATACAGTTCAGCCTCAAAAGCGTTTATTGCTCCCTTTGGGAGAAGTCTGGGGCTTGTCACAAGGTTATCTTCATGGATGCCTGAACATTAGCACTTCAGCAGAGCCTCCTGCCCCATGCTTCCTTCTCTTCCCCCTCTTCCTCCTCTTCCTCTCCCTGAGGCACATTGCGGCCAGGCTGCCCCTCTGAGGCAGCGTGGGACCCTGGCCTATTCTTAGACCTGACCCTGCCCTCTCTGTCCCACTTTGCCAGCAGCAGCTCCTCTCCAGGAATAGCATCTTGCTCTAAAAATAGAGACTTCAGCCAGGGAGAGCACAGGCAGCGTGAACTTCGCTCCAGAAGACGCTGACCCGCAGGCATCCATCCACTGCAGATCAGAGCCAGTGCCTTACATGATCAATGAGTGCCTGATCTTCTGGCTTCAATATTAAGCTTTCATGAATGAAATACTTTATTTATGTCCTGTGACAAAAGTGATCCCCCCTGGAAATACAGATGAACACTGAGCCAGAAACACTGGACTGAAACAACTGATCTTCAGCTTCCTAGAGAAAAGGCCATTTTCCAGTAAAGCTCTGACTACAGGGTCCAAAGAACAAACTGCTCGTGGTTTAATTCACATGGTTCCCACCCTGCTTGTAACTGCTTATTTTCATATCATGTTTTCATGGGGAGATGGTGTGAAGGGGGATTTTAGCTCAGGTTACTCTCTAAGCTGCCTGAAGGAATCTCAGAGACCCTGGTCCCAGTCTCATTCTTACTGAAGGAGTACACAACATTCCTAAAGAGATCTGTCTTTGGATCTCCTTTCTGTGGGAATCAAGGCACAGGCAGGGGAGGTAATGAGGAAGGCCTGGAGAGAACAGCAGCCTGAGTTCAATCCTGATCAATCAAAAGGCAATGGAGGATTTTATACCATACTTTTTCTTGGGTTACTTCTTGCCTGGCATCTTACTAATCATTATTTACTATTATTATGATTTACATTATTTACTATTTTTATAATTTACATTATTATTTATTTACATTATTTTTTACATTGTTGATATTATTTAAATTATTTATATTATTTACTATTTAATCATCATTTATTTAGAACACTAGCAATAATTGCAGTGTTTGCATATGGTAAATAAACATTAAGGAACAGGAATTACTGAGTAGGTAGAACTCTTTATGCTGGGATGGAGAATATGTTGTAGATAGCAGAACCTGTGGTAAGAGTACTTGGGCAAATTGCTGTCTTACTGCCATTGTATCCTGAACATGCCTATGTCAGCATATGTGTATGGACATTTATCACAGGTTTGTGCATAGGCGGTTGAGTGAAAACTGATACCAGCCTCTCAAACACAAATGTGTTTCTGCAAAATAAAATGGTGGGGGGTAGATTCCACAGAAAGATTTCAGGACCTTCATTTCACCTACTAGGTAAGGCAAATGTGATGCAGAACAGGACATACACCCAGAAATCACTTTGCAGGATGGAAAATTGCCTTTCTGTCCTTACTGGTTTACTGCTTTGCCATTTCCTCTGGTTCAGGATTGCCTCACTCTAAGAAGGTTTCAATGCAGAATAAGGGAAATATTTAAAGTTAATTGAATTAACTGCAGGAACAAATCCAGCCTCATTTCATTCCTTGATCCATTTGACATTTATTTCAAGCCCCAGTCTGGGATGCTGTGTGATTGTCCTCACAGAGCCACATCAGCACAGCCAGGCAGGTTTGCTGAGTGACACCATGAAGCAGTGCTCGAGAGGATGCTGCATTCTTTGTCATTAAAGCTCATGTAAAAGAAGTGAAAGCCACACTTACAGTGCTCCAGCTGTGCCTGAAGGACGGTGGTGGGAGCAGGGGCGGTGGAGGAGGGCCAAGGAGGCAGCGTGCTCTGCAGTGCTGCTTCTTGTGTTCCAAACAAGGCAGATCTGTTCAATACAAACACTCATCTGTGGTCTTGAACAGCACAATCATTTCTTACAGAACAAGAGAAGTTGCCATTTCACAGAACACTGTCCTACAGCCTGTAGGCATTGATTACAAGGCTGTAATCCAAGCAGGGATTTAAGAAACCTGGTGAACCCTAAAGTCTCTAAGTTTCTTTTTGTGCCAAAGGCTTTGGAGAATTCTAAGCTCTAAATGTGGCTCTGACATAGGCAGAATCTCGAAAATTCCAGATTGGTCACATCAGAAAATGAATTAAGCATTTATTCTTTTTTGTACCCTCTTTTCCAAAAGCCTGTTGCAAATAGCCTCTTCTGGTGCCTGCTACAGCCCACTTGCCACCAGGAAAGCACTCAGTGCTGTTGGCCATCACCTTTCCTGTGAGCTGAATCACTTTAGGCATTTTTGTGCTAAGTGGGAAGTGAGAAGCTGTCCCACAACACATTGACTTGTATTTCCTCTGGAGCTGCAAGCAGGTTGCTGCATTTCTGATTGTGCATCATCCCTAAGAATAAATACCCCACAAGCCAAACTTAGTTGACAGCTTTGTCACCAACTGACTGGTAAAGACAGGACCTCAGCTGTGTTTGGCAGTGTATTTAATGTCGTCTGAGAGGTAAACTTCCATCAAAATATGCTGTGACGAAAATTCACAAAGAAGGATATTCAGATGGTGCATTTATACACTGTATTTTTTTCCTCTGAATCTTATTTACTTCTTGGGAAACACATCTCTGATCAGAGTGAGAACCTTCCTCAAGGGTTTTTCCAAGGATAGCAAATATTTATTTATGCCTGTTGGTTTCTTCCTCTGGCTAGTGGCAGCTGGAATGGGTGTCTGTGAATTGAAGGGTGGCAGGGAGCCAAGAAGAAAAGCCTATGGTGAAGTATCTGGTATTAATAGAAAATCTCTAAATTAAGTTTCTGGGAAGACAAACCTGATGAAATTGCTAGAGATTTGAGTGCAAATCAATTGCAGGCTGGATATTAGTCACATCTCAAGGTAAGGGAAGAACAGAGTTCTAGTTTTTCAAATGTCTCAGAAAATGCATTACCTCAGTTCCACCACGCCATGTTAATGGGGATGCCATTTTCTCAGTCCTCATGTACAGAAAAGAGCTGCCCAGAGGAGTGGGATTCAGGTGCATTCAGGGGTAGTTCATGCCATCCAGATGTTTTTTTCTCTATTAAAATACTATTTGTGATGATATCTTTGAGACCTGAATCAGTTGAATTCTGGAAGGGTCCATAATGAAGACTCTTTTTCAACTTTTCCTCACAAGTTTGAAACTCAGTCAAAAACTTCAATTTAAGAGAAAGGCAGAAGATTTCTTTTTAAAAATGGGTATATTTTTCAATTCAAACTTTAAATATGTATTGAAAATGCCAATGTCCTTTAAAAAGTAACAGAGCTATGAGACACCTATCTCCAGCACTTATTTGTAATAAAATACAAAGAGTTGAGTTTTATATTGGCTTAACCTGAATTCTGTCACTGTTATGCAGCTGTAAACAAGTTTTTCCATTTTTAACACACAATTTCTGTGATTTCTGTGGTTGTCTGTGCTTCAGGACTGAATTTGAACATGCTGCATTGGGACAAAATAGTGCAATATTAAGGTAATGGACAACTTGTAATTTAACAGGGTATAAAGTGTGATTATTGCTTTATTTTAGGCCACATTCCAACATAATTTTTCTTAGTATCACCTCATTTCATGGTTTAGTTAAAATTTCAGTAGGATTATTGTCATTCAATAGGAATAAGAACATCAAAACTAGCCTGATGTGGCTTAGTTGCTAAGATATCTGTACTGCCAATTCTTTTTCTGCAGAAAAAAAGGTTTACATTACTGCAGTTGTACTGCTACTTTAAAAAAATGTTGTCCTTTAAATATTTTGCAAATATAAGATTAAATATAGATGTACAGCTATAGTTCTGATATGATACTTGTCACGTCCTCAAGAGTAAATTCCAGTCCTGAGTTATAAAAAATTTGGATTCTCCTTTTTAGAAGAAAAGCCTGAAAATCTGTGGAACAGCTTTATTGTGAAAAACACTATACCTAAGTGAGATGGTAAAAAAAAGCCCCTCATTTCAGTGTTTATGCTACTGTAACACAAGTTAGGCTGAAGCCCACTCTGGGTTTGCTGGTATGAACAGTGGTAGCATGTACTGATCTCAGTGAGGAGACAAGCAAAATTTAACTACCAGTAATAGCATTAGATACTATTACTGTAGATATTATTAGACACTATTACTGATAGATGCTATTCCTATAGATAGATACTAAATCCTAATAGACCCTATTATTATATACCAGGTAATTGCATATCATTAATAGTAAAGGTATTGCTATATAGGACAGGTATCAATTATGTAATGACTTGGGTAATTAATATTTCAGGGGCTCCATCAGTAACCCTGGCTCTGCTCTGGAAGGTGCATTTTTCAAGAAAATATTTAAGAAAAGACCGATTCTAGACCCAAAAACTTTCCCCACTCAGGTATGACAAGTGATAGGGCAGCAGAAGGAGCAAAAACCCCAATGATTCACAAAGAGACTGCAGGTAGGACTGCTGTAATCTGATCTTCCAGTAAGCACCACATTTCTTTGGTATGGGTTCTGTCAGTAACTGCAATGGGTCCAGGATGTACAACTATTATGGTATTGCCTTGATTTATTTCACAAAAGGGTTACCTTGGCAGGCTCACAGGCTCTTAGCAAATGCAATGTGTATTTTTAGGCTCCAGGTTAGCTTTGTTTGCTAAACACAGCTTCAGAATACTCCAGTCCCCATCAGTGGAAAAAATCTCAGCCCAAGAATAGGACTGTCATCGTTTTCTGTGAAATATGAAGAGCCTGCCCACACGGAGCATGCGTGTAGGAAGCTGCTCTTTCAACAACTCCAATGCCAAAGAACATGTTCAATTAGAAAAAAAGACAAAGTGAAAATATAGTTTTAGGACTTGTCCAAGAGGCAGTTGTTTTCAAAGAACATAAAAATTTAAATAATCACCTTTGAAATAGAACATGTTTACATTCTCAGGTTATTTTTATGGTCAAGGCTATGAGTTAATCCAGTTCCAGAAAGTGACTTTATAAATCTATGGATATACTGCCAATGGTAGCTTCAGGAAAGACCATACTTTAGATAAGGTGTGATGTTTCATTTTGCTGCTGCAGATTTCCTGTGACCATAGCTGGGATTTGGGAACTCTTACTCAAGTTGGCACAACACAGAGCCAGAGAGAAACCTTCACCCAGGCTGAGTCCCCTGGAGTGGGGCTCATATGAGGTCTGTGAGGCCTCCTAGGGCAGATCCTAGAGAAATCCATAACCCCACAGCTGCAACAGAAATATCAAAGATATTCTGCTGGATTCAGGTCAGATTTACAAGATTTCACTGAAAAAAAATCATAAATAAACCATGAATGTGACTTTCATGCTAAAATCACAAAGCTGTAGGCTGAACGCCAGGAGGAAAGGACGAGAAAGGAAAAGGATACTTAACATGTGTTTCCCTTCCTATTTATGACCACATTGATCCAGCAAGCCCTGGTGGGAAGCTGAGCTGCTACCCAAAGTCTCACCCTGAGAGCAGGGCTGGTGGCTTGCCCAGCCTGTGACAGGCAGGGCTGTGCTGACACCCATCACAGATGCTTCTCCCCCGCAGATGGCACTCAGAATTAATCATAAACCAGCTGGGCAGAGCAGCCAGTTAATGACTGTGGGCTTGTCCAGCTGAAACTGAGCCTTTCATCTGCTTTGTTGTCATTCACTGGGGCTCCTCTCAGCCTCCTTGCAAGGACAGCAGAGCCCCACAGGCTGCAGCCACCCAGCTCCAGTCTGGACATCTATTGCAAGCAACTGGGACACATTTTCCTCTTTCGTTAGGAAAGCTTAAGAGCTTGTTAAAGGTGCCTTTATCTACAGAGCAGATGCAGGTATTAAGCTCTCCTTCAAAATGCCAAAGATAAGTGCCAGCATTACCAATGCTTCTTTAAAGAGTGAAACTTTTATGAAACTTTTATGAAACTTTTTGACTCAAAGTGTGCTTTAAGGCCATATAAGCAGAGATGAGAATACAGCTTGTGTTTGGAGCTGGGTTGAACAGTCAGGTTAGTGAATTTTCTGCGTCTCTTAAAACATTTTTGAACTTGAACCTTATAGTCGATGGCTGCAGTATATCCTTTCATATAAACCACATTAAATATGCCAAAGAAATACATCAAGCTTAGGTAATGGTGTCTGTGTGGAGGAGGTGGTGACCCATGAAATTCCTGTGGGAATTACAAAATGAGACACAGAGATTAAGCTCTGCCCTGCTACTAATTTCCCTTTGGTTAAGATGGGCTTAAGTTCAGACTCTTTAGAAACAGAACAAAGCAGATCAGAAATTATTTCAATTAATTTGAGAAAATGAAGAAATCCAGATGAAACCTTGCAAGTTTCTTTTAATAGAACCATAACATTCTTTAGGCTGAAAAAGACCACCAAGTTCTAAATGTTAATTTAGCACAGTCAAGAAAATCTCATAGAAATTTGAAAGCGCCCCATTTTTAATCTCTGAAGAATCACAGGCTGCAGCAGCAGTACTTCACTAGCTGATGCACACTCAGAAACTGCCAGAAATAAATAAATAAATAAATGTATTTAAAAATCAGTCAGTGTTCCCAAAGCTTGACAATAGCATGATCCCTGGCACTCTGCCTGGACAATGGGTCTGGATATTCACCTGGCCACAGCAGCAAGGACTCTCTGTCCTCCATCCCCACCTAACACTGAGCCCACATCCCTCAGCAGCTCTGGCAGCCTGGCTGGGAGAGAGGGGTGGCTGCATCTCTGAGGTCAGCCCTAAAAAACACTGCAGGCACAGCAAGGTGTGGGAGAGAAAAGGGGCCTGTGGGATTTTTTAGCAAAGGAAAGATCTTTTAACCCCTGTATGAAACATTTCAGACATTTTATCTGTGTGTATGGGC